GAATTTCCTGAAATATGCATAGTTAAATGTGATAAACGAACTGCTTTCAATGTTTGTCCCCGGTTTCCAATTATCATATTGCAAAATCGCCAAGCACATTTGCCCCTTTTCGTCGATATTTGGATGATAGATTGGCGTGACAAAGCGTAAATGAGGCGGTTTGAATGGATAATCGCTGGGGAAAGTTAAGCGTAATCGAAATATACCACCGTTATATGGTGGTCGTGGCTAAAATATTTAGGAATTTTGACTTAAATTTTAAAATTGCATTGCTAAACTGATAGTACCAATAGCAATAATTAAGGTAGTAATAGTTAGGAATATGGTAAGACATCTTGAGGCTTAAGGAAATGCTACCAAGAAGCATATTTAATTATAAGCTTATTTAATTATAACCGTATTTTATTACAGTTATATCACTCATACTGACTAATTGATTGTGTTAATGTATTTGAAAGAGAATAAACCTATTAGAATTGCTAATTTACCGGCGAAATTAGTATATCCCATTGCTTTTGATTATCATTTTGGATGATTATATCGTGGATATATGTTGGCTTTGAACGTGCTAACTGTGCCCGTTCCTAAATAATGTAAATATATCGATATCGATGGAAGAATTTTGATTTAAACGATATCAATTTTTCATTAAATTTTCGAACAACAAATTTTTGCTTTAATACAAAAAATTTTTCTTTTTCATTTTTTAAATGATAAATATAGAGAAAATAAAAAAATCCAAAAAATATTGCAGCCAGAGTAAAAAGGTATACTTTCTGAATTCTCTGATTAATGATAAATGATGTTTGAGTAACAGTTTTATTTTCCGTAACAGATTCAGTCGTTTTTTTCTCTGCCATATTATCCACCGCTTGCTAACTGCTAAAGTGGAATGGACCACATTGTTTTTGTTAATTTAAATGATTTAGCATGAGGAATGAAATAATTTTGCATATTCAAATTTGAATTATAAATATATTCCTTTTAGACACAAAAAGATTTATTTCACATATTTCATGTACTTTAGGAGATGGGAAGCGTATATATATTTCATGTATAATTTATGTCAAATAATTCTTTGTTGATAAAATTTGTATTTCGTTTTTTTTGTGGTATTTTATAAAAATTATATTTCATAATAGTAAATCACTGTAAAAGGACTAAAAAGATACAGTTTATGAAGTTACCTTCACTCTGATATGACAACAACATTTTAATTTATTTGCATCTTCAATTTTATTTCTTACTAGCTGTAATTAACAAAAAATTTTAAATTTCAATTTTAACTTCTTATATCTCGTTCAATTTCTCTGGCTTTAATAATCAACATCAAACTAATACATTTTGATTGATAACTTTGTTTAGAAGTGAGTGATAAAAATGATAAATTTTTGTCTAATTTATATAATATTTCTGTATTGCCAATCAACTGTTTCATAGCCAACGTTCAAACAGAATGAAAAATGAGCTGAATGAGGAAAATATTTTATTTATCGACCGAAAAACATTGCTTATCAAATCAAATAATTATTTTATTTATCGATCGGAAAATATTACGTATTAAACCAAAATGGGAATAAATATAATTCATAAACATGAATGATCTTTTTTTTCCTCTTTAATTGCTCTAAAATCAATTTTAATTTTACATTTCATCAAAAACATTAGTATTTCAATAGTTAACTAGTGATAACACCTGACCGATAGTAGTAATGAAAATTCTATAACTCAATGTTTGGAATAATATCAATTGAGAGTATAATCAATTCTAGTTTCTAGTTATTTCTAGTTATCAATTCTAGTTATTTCTAATTATTGAGATTTCTCATAATTGATCATTGATAAAATGGATGAAATTTAATTGAAATTCATATGTGTGATGTAGGGTTACCAGATTTATCTCAATGATAATTACCATTATTCATCAATATCTTTCTCTATAACCTTGTCCCAATTTACTTTATGGTTTTTTTTTTCTTACGTTGTGCTATAATTTTTTTAATCCCATAATTGGACCATAATTTTTGATGTTGTTATGAATGATGAAAATTTGGAAAGTTTAAAAAAAAAATCCTTGAATGAACTGAATATTAAATTTATCTCAATGATTTATCACATATATAATAAAGCTCAATTGCGGTTTCTAGAAATTATTCCATCATTGCTTTCATTCCTAATTTTTAATTCTAATAACAAAAAAAAAGACAATATGTGAAATTGTATGAATTAAATTAAATTAGATCCATGTACAACTTTTTATTTACTTGCAATAAATGCTTGGAAAATTTTCTTCAAAAGGTCTATTTGACAAATTTGTATCAAATTCTTCTTTCTTTTTTTTCATCCAATGTAATATATTTTATTGAACAAAATATAGTTGATTTATTACAGATAATAATAACAGCAATTATTATATAAATGTTTACATTTATCTAAAAAAAATACGTTCCTGCCTGTCTTACATTATATTATTAGCATGTAATCTTTTAATTCTCATTGTATGTCCTGACAAATATAAAATTTTTAATTAATTTCATTTTTCACCTACTTTATTTGCATTTGAATGATTTCATATAACTATTTATTATTAAAATATAACGAAAAAAAAGTTAATACTTCTTTCATGTTTACGATAGATGTATTAACATCGAAAAACACATGCATAAACAATTGATTTATATTTGTCTGTTTACAATGAAGAATTATTCCCGAAAATATCAATCTATCCTAAAATATTATTTGCATTTTAAAAATTATTCAGAACAATTTGAATAAGAAAGAAAAGTATTGGAATAAAAAGTTAAATCTTGATGTTAATTGAATTTTAATCAGTAATTACATATATTCATTTTATTTCAAAATTATCAATATTGTACTCTATTCCGCATATGTGTATGATCGTTTCATATCTTTTAGGTTTGAAATTTGACGTTAAATAGTGCACATTACGTCACATTATCATCTTTGTACCATTTTAAGTTAGGAATCTTTTAAGTGATATTCACCATTAGTTATTAATTCAATGATTTAATATTT